AATTAAGCAACTTCTTGACAGAAATCGCATTTTCTTAGATTCCCTTATTACCCAATTTTTTTCTTTATTCATTCAATTAATCCCCTATGTGAACGGGATTTTGCAATCCAAAATCATCACCATTTTCTAGTCATTGTAAGACTTCCACAGCTAATCAAAGTTTTATTTAGTTTTAAGTGATGTATTAATATGATAAAAGGCTTAGAATGGCTTAAAATCTTTTTAAAAGTTGTCCTTAATGTTTTTCATTTAAAAATTGGTAACTCTTGTTTTTCAGGTGAAAATTGGCAACTTGTCAAGAACAACGCTCCTGGTAGAAAACCTATATCATGATGACATTACTTCTGTCTCTGTGAAAGTGTTCCTGGGAGAAGTTAGAAATTTGAGCCGATGGTAAATATAACATTTTATCTTATTTCAGGAGATATTAAATACTTTCACCGTGACCAAACTTTAACTATGCACAAGAATTCGTATGGTAAAGAAATATGTGTATTTTGCACTTGAAAATAACATCTGCATAGTGTTGCAGTTTTACAATTGTTCATTAGTGAACGCATTTTTTTAATTCAGCTTTTATATTAATGCAGGCTACCTCGAGAAGTGAATGACAACGCGTATTATTCGATGAGGTCCGACGTCTATATGTTTGCCGTTGTGATATGGGAGGTGTTTAATGCCCGCGCTGTGTCAGCAGACATATCTCCTTTGGCTTTGGTTCCATATGCCCACATTCCGATAGATAAGGTAAAACACAATATTCAAGCTAAGTGGCAGAAAAAAATGATATTTGGTCAGGTTTTTTTACATTTGAGGATATTTATTTGATCATATCTACTGTGCACCGAGTTCAATACATAACATTTAGCTTGAAGAATTTCTTTCAGGAGAGAACTTTATACGAGGTATTATATCATTTCGATAAATGTTTATATATTTTACTTAAGTTCATTAGAAATGCAGACATGGCATTTCAGAGAAGTGATAACATATTTTCTCCCGTTTCCAGCTCTCAGGTATACACAGCTGTAGAAGAACACTTCAACAGCCCGAAGACTGCCCAGAATGGGTGTATTCCCTTATCAAAAGGTGCACTTCAGATCCTGCATTTCGCCGACCATTGTTTCCGCAAATCTGTAGATGCTTGGAATCCGAGTAGGTGTACATTAACTCAAGCTTTTGTCATTATATTGCAATCTTTTTTCATTTTTCCTTTTTTTCTGACAATTATGTGTGTAAAATATACTAATTGCAGTATAGTTTTAACTAATTAAAATTTGCTATCTTTCATGTATTCAGAAACCCAGAAGAAGATCCATTGAACATTGTGTTGAAGCGTCGTTTAGGTGGCCCAGTCAACGAGACGCCAAGCGCCAGTGACAGTGATGCACCTATTGTTCCGCTATTAAATGGTGATCAAGCTGCAAGGAAAGAACCCACGATTGCAGATACTATTGAACAGACTGAAGAGATGCGAAATTACTACGACATCGTGAATGATTATCTAGACCAGGAAGACCATGCTATCTATAGCTTTTATGAAGTTGGAACGTTAGATGACCAAGAAAGGAGAAAATCTAATTATATTGAAAAGCCGTTTTACGAAAACCAAGAGACAGCGGCATTTATGCCGGTCAGCTCCGAGTACGCCGAATTTATAGATACGGCAAAGATGGTTAGAAAGTCGCCACGTTTTATCCAACTAATGAAAAATGCAAAGAAAAGGATGACCAACGTTGTTTGGAAGAGAAGTTCGAGGGACAAGGAAAGGTCGCCAGATTCAATCAATGAAGAGCTTTATGATGAAGCAACGTATACCTGCCCTGGTTACTATGGCAATTTCGTTGAAGGTAGCTTGCTTGCTTGGTCTAGCGAAGAAATCTATGAAGAATTGGGTGAAGTAAACATTTACGAGAGGCCTTCATGTAGCAATCAGGGACTGCCTATTGCTCCCATACCCTCTACCAGGGCCGCGGTTCCCCCACTAAATGGTGAACAAACCGCATTGAAAGAACTCGCAGTTACAGACACTTTTCAACAAACCGCTGAGCTAACGTTGCCGAAAGAAGAATATGGTCACTGCCATATAGCATATGACAGCGAAAACAGCGGCAATTATGATGACGTTGTCTAGCTACAGCTGTAGCAAAAGCAGACAGTTTTGATAATATGCACCCTTTTTCTAAGCAATGATGCCCATGGTCAGACCTCTTTTTTGACCACGTGTTTAATTTCCAAGTCGCCTTGGTTAAACGTATCAGTTACTTTGACCGTTTCCCCAATTTATTTAGGGGTGGAAAGCAGTAAGCGTCAGGCACCCCAAGATTCAAAGAGCAGTGAAAGAGTACTGGAATCTAACCTTCAGTCTATATGCCTCTGCGCCAATCTAACGGTCAATTTACAGTAATCTAAAAACTTGGGTAGGTTTACCCTCTACCACTGATCAATTTTTTCACTATACAACATTGTCACAAAGGTTGTCCCACCCCCATTTCCATGTACTTATATTTACAAATGATCACCTTACAGCTGTAAATTGTTAGAAATAGTGTCTAACATGATTAATTAAGATTTTTTTGACCAATGCTGTATATGCACATATCTCTCTAGCTTATTCTTTACACTATTATCTGTTCAGTGAGAATTTTGATATAGAATTAACATCAACACTCAGCTGGTCTTTATTGTTTTTAGTTGGAGTATTAGCGCTATATGCTGGAGTGGTATTGACTGCATGGGTATCTTTTTTATCTTCCCAAATTCTTCCAAAAAATTCCAATTACGCTGGCATATTTGCAACTGAATTTAATTCCCCAAAGACAGAGTTTAATCCTACCCCACACAATTTTGGAAGGTAAGACACTTTTGTATAGGCCTACATTTAAATTTAACACATTAAACAAAGGCTTATTAATTATATGAGAACACTTATTTGTGGTTTATTTATCTATAGAGCATTCCTTATTTAACTCACTTATACCTGTCTATTAATATATCAGTATTATTATTACTAGTCATTCTCTGTTTTAATTTCATCTATGTAATCAAAATCTATCAATTTCATAAGTTTGGTCGACCCTATTAGTGCCAGGAATGGTTGACCTACCTGGCTGTAAATGTTACACATTTGATGTAGAAGAAAAGGAATTTTGTAAAACTGTTTATGCCCTTTTCTTTAAAAGTTACTCTTTTTTTATTAAGAAGAATGGATAAAAAGACAAAATCTACAAATTAATCATTTTCTTTATCCTATAAAATGACCACTGACAGACCAATAAATTTCTTTCAAACATACAACAGTACAAAATATTTTAATTAGACTTTGATCCTTTAAAACAGTAGAAAATCAGCAAATGAGTGCATGATCATGTATGTCCACATCTGCCTTAGTTTACATGTATATAGATACATGAGGATAATGTATGGTGCATAGATGTTATAACCCCACTGTGTAACTCATATAACATATGGCATATAAATATTAGCACTAATAACAGCATCTAATATAATACAATAGTTTAGTATTCTTTGTTAGAGTATCTATAGATAATTTCACTACTCCAATACATAGTCAATAAAATGTAATTTAAAGAATGTGATCAATTGTTTACTGAGACTAATTGGGAACCGAGTCTTCTTTCTTCCTGAATGTGCATATACCATTTTACTCTCTCTCTCTCTCTCTCACACACACACACACTGCTTTTTCCACCTTTGAAAACACACGACTCCAAAACTCGTGTTCTCGGCATCATTTCTTCAGCCAATGTCATATTTTCTATACTGCATATTCAAAACTTCCAGCACAATCAATTATTAAACAGACAAAACTGAGGTTAAATATTCACCTTTTTAGCCATAAGCAAAGCAGCTCAACCATCTGCAAAGTTTCTTTCACACAGACATAGAAATGCTCAGATATGTGACCAAGTTAAGCAGTGCTTTAAACCTACCAATTAAAAGATATCTCATACTTGATTTGAACTTATTTGTATAAAATCTCCATAATATATGTATACATACGTATACATATACGTATACATAGTGAATTATTATACAAATTAAAAAACAAGACAAATACTATAAACCAAAGCTGAAAAATAAACAATCCTGTGTCTATTCTGCAAGCAACACTTTTTACTAATCATATTTTCTATAGAATATAGACAAAAATTTAAAGACCATTTTAAGCATATAACAATTACTTCTAACAGAATGTATGCCAATTAATCTTTTCTCTAAAATACTATACACACTACGTTAATCGAGGCTTAAATCATACTTAAATTTACTAAGTAAAACCAGTCTTGTGCAATCAACAGAGTAGTAAGACAGTAGTATAATTTGGGTCATGAATATAAATACATTTAATGCTATATAAATTACCATTTAACTGTACCTGGTGCATATTTAATAAGTGCAGGGTTGCAAAACAAGGCTTTAAATATTTCCCTTGCAAAATCAACATATAAGCCAATCCAAAATGCAATATCATAAAACAGCCAGCATATCATAGTCAATATCATAAAAGCAGCCATTCTTACATTGAAAAAATGTAAAAATGGACAAGTAATCAATAGCAGAGGGAACTATGATATTCAATGTCAAGTAAAACAATTCATGCATTATTAATCATACTGCTATCTATTATCTAATACCATTCACTCAAAAAATTCTATTTAAACAACATAATTCAATGCCATTTTTTTTCTTTTGAGACCTCTCAATATATATTTTATTCTGACTTTAATATTAGCCTTCTATACTACTGCCAAAATTCAATTCTTCTTGTTCAGCATACAGAATCATCATTGACATTTTACTAATTACACAAAAGACCAATCTGTAAAATATGACAAGCGTTCCCCCAATGTGACAAACATGATTCTCTAAAATAGATTGTATAGCCATCAATACAAAGCATTCTAACAACAATAGCAAAAAGCACCTACACTATATACATTTTTCATTAAAGCATATGCAACATTTTTCCTTTTTTACCCTCCCTTTTATAAAACCATAATCCAAATCTATATAATCATGTTGTCTCACAACAGGCCATGTACAAGTATACAAAATAACTTTGGCAATCTGGTACGTACAATATAAACAAGTAGCTAAATATTCCCTATAATATGCAATTGTAAAACAATCATCTTTGGAGCAATTTGTGCAGAATATCTGCTAAATATCTTAGCAAACATCTCACATGGCTGACACTGGATTTTGAAACGATGGAAATAATCGATGATTCTTTATAAAAAGAGATTATTTAGCTGGTATGAAAATAATGTTGAGCATGGTTTGTGATATGCAAAATAACATTTCTTTCTTCTGATACATGTTCATGCAATGTTTAATTGTGACTATTCATTCAACTTTTGCCATTTTGGCTGTCCCTGTTGACACGGAAGCGAAGCTGTTTGAGTGGCGAGTTGGATACACTGCCATTACTGCCACCCTCGGCTTTATTCTGCGTCTTTCTATCATTATTGTTCATAACAACATCCCCATTAGTGGTCTGATGACTCTTTGCGATAACTTTATGTGGATGGAGGTAAAATTTCCAAATTGTGTAAACAAACAATCCCACAATGCCAAGAATCCAGAAACAGGCAACAGGGAATGGAATGGGCTTAGAAACAGTCTGCCAGTCAAACTTGAGCACTATAAGAAGCTCTGTTATAATTATAGCAGCTATCATCCAAGCCTGACGACCAAACTTCTTACAATTTCTGCAAAGACAAATTGTGAGTTTTACGAAAAAAATACTTCCTTTCACAGTTTGCCATACATGCTAGTATGGGACCTTTCATTAACAAAAACACTTCTTGCATCCTTAATTGGTAAGTAACACAGAATCTCTTTAAAAAATTGCCTAACATAAGTCAATCAATAAATCTGCCGCTAAGCATCATTTTAGTTCTAATAAGCTAAGTTTCATAACCACACTGACAATGAAAAGTCCACATTTTTATTAAGCCAAAACCGTGCAAAGGTAACTACAATATCATTGAAAGATATTACTACAGAAACCTGCTGACTTACGGATCGTCAAGAAACTGGAAAGCCTCCCTCATAGCAACAGCTCCTGCAAACAGGAAGAACACCAGACGCCCCAAACATAAATAGTGCTCAGGTGGAATCCACAACACAAATTTCAGGTAGAATGTGTTCAGTTCTGCAGCCAAAAACTGAAAATTAAGTAATTCAAAAATTATAGTTAATGGCATGGATTTCAAAAATGGTACATGTAGTTGGTCTACAAAAGATTACATGCTGTTTACACCAATATTATTGAGCCAAAGATTTTGAGTTTCTAAAAAGGCATAATAGTAATAGTTTAGAATGACTAAAAAAATATCACACAAAATTACAACACTGAAATTAACATATTTGCTTGATACAAATTTGAGAAGAAAAAGGCAACATTATGGGCTGCTGTATTGGGAAAAATCACTAAAACCTAAAATAAACTAGACTAAGTGTATTATTAAAATGAAACTATTATGAGCCTGAAATGAAAAGTTCTGATTTCTCTAAATGTCTCACCATAATGATGATTCCCAACATTGCCAACCATCGCTTCAAGCTGAATGTGGGCCTCCAATCGAAGTCCATCCAGCTGTAGGGGGTGAACTGGGAAGCAACACGCTGGAGACGGCCTCTGTGACAAAAAAAGGTGAAAAATTACATTTGTATAAATTATAATTGTGCACTCTAAATGGACCAGATGTTTAAATTAGAGGCCCAACTGATCACCATAAAACTAAATTATATCTATGATAATTTTGTATAAACCATCAATTTTGAAAGAATACATATCTTGATGTGAAAGTAAATATGAAATCTAGCCTCTGTTCCTTACAGGTGAGCTGGTGCCTGTATCATTCTATAAGCTATTATCATGATTCATCTGATTCAAATTCACAGTAATCAACACACCAGCAGCAGTTTAATTCTTGCCAATGTGAAAGAACAGGCCCCAAGCTGGGGTGGGGGTGGGGGGGTTTCAAACAAACTGCTTTTTGGTGGGAAAAGGTCTCCTCTGAATTAAAATTGATCTTGGTACACAAAGGTTTCATGGTAAAAGGTCCACTTTTTCAGAAAAAGAGCCCCCTCCCCCCCTTTGAAATAACTGGCTACAGGCCCAAAGAAACAGAAGAAATCTTGACATGCAATATTACTAGAGGTGCCATGTATTAATGGAATATTGAACGGATATAACCCCAGGTGGAATGATGCACAAAGTGATACATGTACTGTAATTTCCCACTATATTCAAACAAAAAGGAATAATCACATTTTTGAAAATAACATCATACTGGTAATATCTGATAAAAATGGCCATGGGTTTGGAATTTTGGGAGAGAAAATAGTTTTATATGACAGAATTTTTGTGAGGAACTTAACACGATGAATCTTTAAAAGATAGAGTCTTAAGAGATTCATTTTTTTCATCCAAAAGAGGACTAGGCAAAAGATCTTAAATTACCAGTATTTGCAGAAATTCTCAACTGCTCTTTGGTGCAGTCTTCCTCAGTGATATTGTTTGACCATTAAGTGGAGTTGTGGTCAAAATGATGTTATAGACTGGACTAAGCCTGTGCCCCCCACCCCCCAACCACAGTTAATTGTCATTGAATCTTTGAAAGATATTAAAAAGAAACAAGGGAGGCTCTTAATTTTTGTGAGGAATTATTGTAATTTCCATAGTGTTAAAATTGCTTTTGTTCTTACCTGTATGTGTGTATTTTCCACATCCCCCTCCAGTGGTAGTGTTTTAGTGAGAGATATTTCAGAGTCTTCATACCCAAGTAGATACCCAGACCATTACACACTAAGGCATCCATTATCCACTGAAGAAGATTATTGAAACTTACTGATGGACAGTATGTTATGATATGAAAATGAGAAGGCATTTACAAGAACACACACACAAACACACACACACACTACAGTATATATATATATATATATATATATATATATATATATATATATATATATATATATATATATATATATACAATGCATAAAAAGAACTTGGGGGATACTACTCTTTGTATATTAAATACATGCTTCAGAAATGGAAGGGGTAGATAATTTTGTCCCCTCCATTAATTCCAACTACATGTGTGTTTACGTGTTCATATGCGCCTGTGTTTCAAATGTTTGCAGGAAAATGAGTATGCGTACACATTTGTGAGAACCTATGTGGGATGGCAACTCAAATATAGCAAATGGGATATTCAAACTAAAACAAATCTGCAAATTGACAGTAATCAAGAGACAACCCCATTTTGATAATCTGTCTTAATCTCCATATTTACATTCATTTTGATTAAATTTCAGCACCAAAAGTAATGAACATACTGTGTGCGTACATTAGTGGTCATTGTAGCATGATATGTCATTAGCCATGAATTTGTAAATAAAGATGCAGGCCTAGAAAGTTTTCTTCTACACTGGACATTATGTCAGATCCCTAGATTCCGTGCCATCTTTGCTTTCACATCAAAAAAGCACATTCATTATATCAACAAAGAGTTAACACTTTTATCAGCCATGGCTTGATGGTCAGTTAGTGGACAAGATGTCACAAGAAAACACTGTTATTCAGGAGAAAAAAAAAGTGAAATTCAATACAATTTCAACTGAATTTGGTTTTCCTAACACTTCAAAAAATGCCTTTTTTCATCCCTTTCAGTATTTGCCTTTTTTCTTGGAAAAAGTCTGCATTTATGTTATATACATATAAAAGTTTTACATGCAGTTGTACTCACATGATCCCACCAGCATTCGCTAAAATTGGGCAGCTGGTGCTCTAGGGTATACTCTAGAACCTCAAACATGATACTGAGCACAGTGCACAACCAGTAATCTCGCAGGATCAAAGTCTGGAAAAGCAAAAAAATTTGATCTACATTTTTGCCATCTTTTGTAAAGAAGGAATACAAATAACTTTCTACATGAATTGAACAGATACTTTCACAAGAGTTTTTTTTTTTATTTCCCAGGACCAGTATATAATTTTGCTGACCTTTTCCTTCTTTCACTCTACAGTATGAAATTTTCTATCCCATCTAACATTTTTTGAAAGAGGGCTCTTACTTTTATTGAATGCACATTCAATAATGTATCATACTTAGAACTTATTTACTTGCACTTTAAATATCACTATGTAATGAGTGAATAATAATAATAATAATAATAATAATAATCTATGTTCCGTATACATAACAAAATTGAAAGACGTCTTAAAATAACATAGAAAGAAAAGAAAAAATGATAAACTTGACTACAGCACATCATAATTATTTCCAAATCAGATACCAACAGGATATATCAGATATTCTAGCTTTGTGCGTTCATTTAGCAGCTCAGTGCTTTGATAGTTTCACTCCAGTAATGACTCTAATCTAAAATCAATGCTGATGCATCTATACGTGGAAATGGTATTATAATCTGCAGGCAACTGATTCCAATAAAGACTGATACACATTACAATACAGTGGAATGCAGTGCAGTGCAATACAGTACAGTACAGTACAATGCAATACACTACCATTCAGTACAATATAGTACAATGCAATACAGTGCAGTCAGTACATTACAGTATAGTACAGTACAATACAGTAGACTGCAGTATAGTGCAATATGCTACAATGCAAGACAGTGCAGTGCAGTACAGTAAAGTATAACAAGGGCGGATCCAGGATTATTTGAAGAGGGGGTCCGATTTTTCAGGAATGACAGGCCACGGCCCTCCTTGGAGTGTTTTGGAGGGCAAACAGTGCCATTTGGAATATAAGAACTATAAAGCAGCTAGTCAAAATTCTAATTCCAAGAGGGGAATATCAGTGACATCCCCCCCTCTAAATCTACCACTGTATAGTACAATACATACGTATATGGCAATCATTGGATCTTTTCAATGGGCATAAAGTATCAATCTTTCAGTGACATTATTTCAGAACTATAAAACTTATATTTCTATATAGCACTTGTGGTGCTTTTACTGCACAGAATTCAAAAATAAGGTAACCTGCTTTTCAATTTTGCTGCTACCACTCAATAAGACTGTTCTAATTTTAAGAAATTATGACTTAAAAATACAGTACATGTGAAACTCACTGTTTCCCCATGTAAAGAGTCATTACCGTACTGCAAACCCCAGGGGCGTAACCAGACCTTTAAAAATTGTACGCACAGTTTTTTTAAAAATTCCCAGCAAAATGTAGACTAACGCAAGAGATGAAGGACAGCGTAATTACATGATATGTACCACACATCGCAGCTTAATTTCCATGAATAATAAAATCATCATTTAGTCAGAAACATTCTCGCAATGAAAAAAGTTTCATTATTCTTATTACCCAGAACGGTAACACTTTTGGAAACAAACAAAAGAAAAACCTTATAGGTAAAAAATAAGTGAATTAAAAAATCGGCCTTTTTGAGCCATTGCTGGGGCAATACGCCTCGCACCAGGGGGCTAAATGCCTACCGTGGGCGTCTTGCCCCAAACTATAGGCGTTATGCCCCGCCTTTGTACAAAGCAAAATAAAATTAAATTATATTTCTACGGGACAACTTAGTAAGCCTTTAAAGCAACAGATAATTTTTTGTGGTACTGAGATAATAAAAATACCCATCAAATTTAAATGAGCTGTAATTCTACTCTTTACGGTAGGGCACTGTGATACTTCCAAAATTAAGTTCCTAGTACAGCCACTTGCTTTGGCTTTTCCCCATATAAGTGTAATAACTGATGATATACAATAAAAAAAAGTGCATGAAAGAACACTTCCGCATCTTTTTAGAATTATTTTTTATCTAAAAACGAAAAGGGGCAAAACGCCCAGTGATCGGGGCAAAACGCCCACTATAGGCGTTTTGCCCCATATCAGCATGGGCGTTTTGCCCCAAAGTGAGATTTTGTATATTTTTGCAAAATTCGGCGGGAAAGGTTTTATAAATCTGACTTCATCGAGACTTGTATGGAGGTCTGACATCATCCTATCTGTCACCAACAAAGTTTTTTAAATTCGTGCATTTGGTAGATGGTGTCACTGATGTTAAGGAAAAGGCTAGATTACTGTAAACAGGGCAAAAATGAACAAATTATCATAAAATGCTTACTTTTTAGTTTGTGGTTATCTCCGTCATGGAGGATTAGTCTGCTAGAAATCGGAAGTGGACAAAACATCACGAGACGCGTATTTATACGTAATACCTGAAAAAAGCGGGTGGGCATTTGACTCCGACTGGGCGTTTAGCCCCGGTCTACCTATTTATTTAAAAGGAGGCTAGCTTCGCATATGTGGAACCCCCTTCGAATAATCCTGGATCCACCTCTGAGTTGAACTAACATACGGTTTCATTCACCTTACATGTGGATTCATGGGTCCCAAAAAACAACCAATTGTACGACACGACAGAGCTCTGATACATCTAAGTTTAATTATTTGTTTGTGAAAATTGCCCATGTCACTCTGTTAGTTTGGAGGGGTAAGCTGGGTCAAGTCCGTGTCAAAATTCTTTGAAGCTTTGCAGGAAAAATTCTTCCTTTGTTTCTCTAGCTCCTTCTTAAACCTGGTGTCCAGATTTTATCTAGTGCCCCCAGGGTTGCGGGAGCTGCTCTTTGAAAATAACACTCAGGCAGATTTTTACCTGAGATAAATATCCCCAGCGAGAATGCGTTTGATATTCTCAAGAAAGAGGTTACAGAAGAGTTGAGGGCCACTGAACCCTCCAATTAAGGGGTAAAGGAAGTTCCAGTTAGATGGACGATTAAGATAGGACTTGTTAAGGTTACAGGCATTGTTTACCTCAGTTTGCAAGACGGTGGGGGAGGGGGGGGGTCAGAACAATTGTGCCTATACAATTGATACAGAGGTTTGTACATACAGTTTACTTAATAAGCAGAGGATTTTCTTTTATATTCCGTGAAAAATACGCTAAATTTATATAAAATAATATCATGGTTGGCCAAAAAATTGTACGCACAGTGCATCCGTGCGTATGCCTAGTTACGCCCATGAACCCAATGCTCATTGCAGTTGAACTTTGTCTATAATAGAACTGCAGCTACTTACTTTTAACCACCAACCAAAGAAATGTGTAGGAACAAAACCATCCATTTTATCCTGAAAGTAAAATGCATGAAAATATACAAGCTGATAAATGAAATAATACTTAAGCATTGTTTAACAAAATTTATACCAGAACTATCTTTGTCTCAATACTTTTAAAGACAGCTATCCTCAGAGTCCTGGGCTTGTATCATGGTACAATATGACAAGTACTTGTAAAAAAAATAATACCTGGCCATCACTTGAACAGAAGAGGGTTTTTACTTAAAATTTTCTATGCTTTATTTATAGCAAAATTTTACTCTTGCAAAACAGATAATTTTTGTTAAACATCAAAAGTTTTTTAGACACAAATTGAACATTTGAATCAACATTTTCAGCATTATTAACAGGACAATATTTTGAGAAAAACTATAATTTGGTTTAAATTTCATGAGTTATTACCATACTTTGTAAACTTGGACCACGCCCCCTGTTACTCTTACCTTGAGATTGTGGAAGGGATCCTCAAGTTTAGAAGGGTCATATATCAAACAATTGCCACCATAATCCTTCTCTGGAAGTGGCTGACCCAGTGTTTCATCAAAAAAAGTCAACAACTTTCTGGCATTATCAACAGTCTGAAACAAAAAAAAAA